AATATGTAAACAGAATCCAGAGAGATACTATTTCATTTTACTTTGTATATTGTTTTGTATAGAACAAGAGTAACATATATGAATGGAGCTGGGAGGTAACGTTAAACGAGTGAATCAGGCTCAGGCATAAAGCAGTAAGAGTTGTGGAGGAATGACAAATTGGAGAATTTATTTCCCTGTATAAAGGGAAGAGCTGTTACTTTGACTGATTGTTGTGTGGGCCTGGTTTTGAACTTATTTTCTGATTTTTCAAGAAAAGCCAGAAATTTGCATTTTATGTGCTATCTCCTGCTTTTTCAAATGTTGGAAACTAAATAAAAACATTTCAGGACACTCTTCAGGCCAGACAGACTATTCATGCAGGTGGGATTTGGCCCTCAAGTTACCAGTTTACAGTCTTCCTGCATATAAGATCATAAATAATTTTTATTGCTTCCTTTTCAGGGGTTACTATCAATCTCATAGTAATAAATTGCTGCAAGATTTCTGACTACAAAGGATTTTAACATGACATTGTACTCTTGCTCTCCCTGCATCATGCTGACTATGTCTATTCTTACCATTTTAGGGTATGGTCAGACGGGTCCACTGTCTCAGCGAGCTGGTTATGATGCTGTTGCCTCTGCTGTTTCTGGTCTGATGCATATCACAGGGCCTGAGGTAGGTATCATTCTTTCGAATATTCATAAATTTCCCCCCTGTTTATTCCGAAGGGATTTCCCGATTCACTAACCTATAAGCTTAAGTTTGAGTTAATTTTAAGAAGAAACTAGGGAAAGTGAATTCTTATTGAAAATGGAAGTGTTTATTACAAATGTACTTGAGATTATATGTCAATATGTCCCCATGGAAAATAACAGTTTTTTTTTTTTAGGAAGAAGCAACAGATCAGTTGACTGTTTTTGTATTATAATTTTGCATTTGTATTTTAATTATTCAAGCTTGGTATAGGCACCTAGGTGTGACTTCTGAATATTCCTTCTGTGAAGCAGAAAGGCTGACTAGACCAGACTGCAGATGCCCATTTCTATCAGAGTACCTTCATGTGGCATGTATACACAGTGGAGGGTCTCTTTTTCCCTCTGCAATATTAATAACTGGTAAAGAATTATATTTTATTTTATTTTACTTATTTATTTTTTTAGGTATTTATCTTTTATTTATTTTTTATTATTATGTTAATCACCATACATCACATCATTAGTTTTTGATGTAGTGTTCCATGATTCATTGTTTGCG